CCGCCGGGGGCACCGGGGACAGCCCGGGACCCCTCCCCAGCGGCTCGGGGGGCACCGGGGACAGCCCGGGACCCCTCCCCAGCGGCTCGGGGGGCACCGGGGACAGCCCGGGACCCCTCCCCAGGGCGGACACCCGGAGCTGCCCGAGGGGACCGGGCGCGGTTGGAGCGGCCGGGGATGGAGAGCCCGGGACCGGCGGCGGGACGGGACGGGAGGAGGTGAAGCCTCGCCCCGGGGTTCGGCACCGGAGCGGCACCGCGGCTCGCAGGAGGATTTGGAGCGGGATCCCCACCCGGATTCCCAGCAGGATCCGCATCCAGACTCGCTCTGGGATCCACGGCAGGGCTCGTCCCCGGGACGGCACCGGGAGCCGCACCCGGAGCGGCACCGGGGCTCGCACGGGGACTGGGATTTGGATTGGGATCGGGATCCCCATCGGGACCTGAACCGGGATCTGGACGCGGATCCCCATCGGGATTCGGACCGCGATCCCCACCGGGATCTCGACCTGGATTCGGACCGAGATTCCCACCAGGATCTGGACCGGGATTCCCACCAGGACCTGCCCCCAGAGCGGCACCGGGGCTCGCACGGGGACTGGAGCCGGGATCTGCACCGGGATCCGGACCGGGATCCCCACCACAATTTGGACCGGGATCCCTATCAGGACTTGGACCGGGATCCCCACCGGGATTTCCGTGAGGATTCCCAGCCCGGCGGGCAGCGGGATTGGCACCGGGATTTGCCCGAGGATTCCCGGGAGGATTCGCCCCCGGGAGGGCACCGGGATTTGCACCGGGATTTGCGGCCAGAGCGGGGCTCGCAGGAGGATTCGCACCGGGAATGGCCGCAGGATTTGCACCGGGACCGGGATCCAGGCTCGGCGCGGCACCGGGACTCGCACGGGGATTCCTGGGAGGGCTCGAACCGGGACCGGCACCGGGACTCGCACCGGGAGCGGGGGCTGGAACCGCCCCGGCACCGGGAGTGGCACCGGGACTCCCTCGAGGGGTCTCACGAGGGGTCCCACCGGGATTTTGACGGGGGTTTTCCCCCTTCCCCCGTGCCCCCCTATAGGGACGAGGATCCCGATCCTTACGGGGACCCCTACGGGGACCTGGGGGACCCCGACACCTACGGGGACCCCTACGGGGGCCCGGCCCCCCCCTATAGGGCCGAGGACCCCGGGGAGGGGCCGTGGGACCCCGAAACGGAGCCCTGGGACCCCGATATTTATGGGGACCCCTACGGGGACCCCTACGAGGACGAGGACCCCGAAGAGGAGCCCTGGGACCCTGCCCCGCCCCCCTCGGACCCCTACGGGGACCCCGAGCCCGGGAGCCTCCGCAGGGGCCGGGACCCCCAAACCCGGCCCTGGGACCCCTATGGGGACCCCTATGGGGATGGGGACCCCCAGAGTGAGCCCGGGGACCCCCAAACCCGGCCCTGGGACCCCTATGGGGACCCCTATGGGGATGGGGACCCCCAGAGTGAGCCCGGGGACCCCCAAACCAGGACCTGGGACCCCTATGGGGACCCCTACAGTGATGAGGACCCCCAGGATGACCCCATAGGGGACCCCCATAGGGCCCCCGACCCCGAGACTGAGCCCTGGGACCCCCCGAGGGACCCCCATGGACTCAGCCCCTCCCCCAGGCCCCATAGGGACCCCCAAACCTCCTCCCAGTTACCCCCCCAGTTGTCCCCCCAATCCCCAAAACCCTCCCAGTTAACCCCCAACAGGCCAAGGGCATCCCAGTTGCCCCAGTTACCCGCTCAAAGGCCAGGAACTCCCCAGTTATCCCAGTTACCCTCCCAGTTAACCCCCCAGTTGTCCCCCCCAGAGTCACGGACGCCCCAGTAGCCCCAGTGACCCTCCCAGTGGCCCCCCCAGTGGCCCCAGTTGCCCCCAGGGCCCCTCCCAGTCCCGGCTCCCTGCGGGTGGGGCTGCTGTTCGCACTGCCGGTGGCACTGGGAGGGGCACTGGTCATACTGGGAGCACTGGGGGGACTGGGAAGGCCCCCCCGGCCGCCCCTGCCCAGCCCCCACGGCTGAGGGTGATGGGGGGAGGGGGCCCAAACTGGGAGGGACACCCCAAACTGGGGGTCCAAACTGGGCAAGGACCCCCGAACTGGGAGTGGTTACCCCGAACTGGGGTGAGGACCCCTTCCAAACAGGGGGGGATGGCTCAAACTGGGAGCCCCTCCCCCAAGCAGAAGTTCAGGGCTCCCCCCGCTGCACTCTCCCCCTTCCCAAACTGGGGGTCCAAACTGGGAAAGGACCCCCAAACTGGGATCGCTCCCAAACTGGGATTTTTTAACCCCAAACTGGGATTTTTAACCCCAAACTGAGACAGGGACTCCTCCCAAACTGGGAGAAGACCCCAAACTGGGACTGTTAACCCCAAAGTGGGATCGTTAACCCCAAACTGGGACTGCCCCCCTCCCCCAGTCCCGCCCTGCCCCCGGGTGGGGGAGGGGCGAGGGCAATAAAGGGCCGGTGCTGCCCCTCCCCCCCCCCGAGCCTGAGTCCTTACCGAGCGCGGGGTCCCCTGGGGGGGGAGGGGCGGGGAACGCCCAGGACGGGGGGTCCCCCCGGGGGGGAGGGGCGTGACGTCATTGCTGAGAGGGGGAGGGGAGACAGGGAGCGGGGGGAGCTCCTGGGAGCATCCCAGTTCGGACCAGTAGAGCCCGGACAGGACCAGTCCCAGCAGTGCCCCCATCCTAGTGCCACCAGTACAAACTGGGCAGGACCAGTCCCCACCAGTGCCCCCATCCCAGTGACACCAGTTCACCCCGTGTGAAGTGGAGGGGGCGGAGCGAATGCAAATCCCAGCGCGCAGTTCACCAATCACATTGCACGCATAATTTGAGGGGGCGGGGCGTCGGAGTGGACGGTGATGAAAACACAGATATGCAAATTAGGGAAACGCAGCGCCGCCAAAGGCATCATGGGAGCGAAAATCTGGGGCGATTTTCGGGATTTTCGGGGTCGGTGCGTACAAACCGCGGGAGGAGAGCGCGGGACGAGCTGGGGAAAAGCTCGCAGAGCGGCTCCGGAGCGGGGCGGGCGCGGCGCGGGGGTGTCCGTGAGGTACGGGCGGGCCGGGCGGGGCCGGGCGGGGCGCTCGGGGCAGCTCGGGTATCGCTTCTCGGCCTTTTGGCTAAGATCAAGTGTAGTATCTGTTCTTATCAGTTTAATATCTGATACGTCCTCGATGAGAGGACTTTATATTAAACGGATTTTTGGGCTCGGGAGTTGGACCCGGAGCTTGCTCCCTCCGCTCCGCGCATCGTCCCGGTATTGCAGTGCCTCCGGGAACGGTGCACCCCCACCGGGGACCTTTATCGGTGAAAAATAGAGTGAAAAACTATCGGGAAGTGGCTGAAATTGGAATTATATCGCGATATCAGCCCTGGTCCTGCCACCCGCTGACCCTCTGCAGCTCCCTCGTTCTGTGCTGCGCTCACCGTGCCGGTATTGCAGCGCCTCCGGGAACGGTGCACCTGAAATGGTGAAAAATAGACCGAAATTATCTGGAAATGGGTGAAACCATGTATCACCCATATCGTGATTGTATCGCGATAGCAGCTGTGCCTTTGTCGATTGCTGATCCTCCTGCACTTCACTCATTCCGTGTCACGTTCCTCGGCCCGGTGTTGCAGTGCCTCGAGAAGGGTCCACAGTCACCGGGGACCTTTCAGCGGTGAAAAATAGATTGAAATTACCTGAAAATAAGTGGGATCGTGATTATGTCGTGATATCAGCTGTGGCTCTGCTGATTTTCAAGCTGTTTTTCACTTTGTATAGTTCTCCGTGAGGGGTGCACCGTTCTCGAGGCACTGCAACACCGGGCCGAGGAACGTGACACGGAATGAGTGAAGTGTAGGAATATCAGCAGTCGGCAAAGCCACAGCTGCTATCGCGATACAATCACGATATGGGTGATACTTGGTTTCACCCATTTTCAGGTAATTTCAATTTCACCCTGTTTTTCACCATTGATAGGTCACTGTAGGGGTGCACCGTTCCCGAAGGTGCTGCAATACCGGGACGATGTGTTTGATATCGCAATATAATCACGATTTAGAATATTCTCAATCTGTTTTTCACCATGTAAAGGTCCCTGTTGGCGGTGCACCGTTCCTGAGGCACTGCAATACCGAGACAATGTGGCTGATATCGCGACATAATCACGATTTAGAATATATTTTCAATCTATTTTTCACCTTGTATAGTTCCCCGTGGGGGGTGCACCGTTCTCGAGGCACTGCAACACCGGGCCGAGGAACGTGACACGGAATGAGTGAAGTGCAGGAGGATCAGCAATCGACAAAGCCACAGCTGCTATCGCGATACAATCACGATATGGGTGATACTTGGTTTCACCCATTTTCAGGTAATTTCCGTCTATTTTTCACCATTTCATGTCCCCCGTCGGGAGCGCAGCGTTCCCGAACAGCTCCCCAGAAATACAGGATGACCCGGGCAGCTGAGGGGGGAAAATATTCCCTGTGAGGGGGAAAGGAGAGGGAAATGGAGCCCGTGATGGTGTGGAGGGAGAAATACCAAGTCCATGAGGATGGAAATGGAGCCCGTGAGGGGGATGAGGGTGAAATGGTGACAATGATCAAACGGATCATCATCAAATGATGTCTGTGAGAGGAGTGAGGTTGGACATGGCGCCTGTGAGGGGACAAATGATGTCTGTGAGGGGGATGAAGATGGAAATAGTGCCTGTGAAGGGTTTCGGGGCCAGCTGAAGGGAAAACGGAGGCCATGAGGGAACAAATGGTGTTCCTGAGGATGAAGAGGGGAAAAATGGAACCCATGAGGGGGATTGGGGGAAATATGAAGTTTGTCAGGGTGAAATGCTGTCCCTGAGGGGGATGAGGGAGCAAATGGCACCTGTGAGGGATTTGAGGGGCAGCTGAGGGGGAAATGGAGCGTGTGAGGGTGGTGGAGGGACAATGGAACCCATGAGGGTGAGGGGGGTGGAAATGGCACCTGTGAAGGATAAAGTGGTGCCCATGAGGGGACAAATGGAGCCCGTGAGGAAGACAAGGGTGGAAATGGTGCCTGTGAGGGGACAAATGATGTCTGTGAGGAGGATGAGGGTGGAAATGGTGCCTGTGAAGGGTTTCAGGGGCAGCTGAAGGGAAAATGGAGGCCATGAGGGAACAAATGGTGTTCCTGAGGGTGATGATGGGGAAAATGGAACCCATGAGGGGGATCAGGGGGAAATATGAAGTTTGTGAGGGGGATGAGGGAGGAAATGGCACCTGTGAGGGATTTGAGGGGCAGCTGAGGGGGAAATGGAGCCCGTGAGGGTGATTAGAGGGAAATATGAAGCCTTTGAGGGCGGAATATTGTCCGTGAGGGTGATGAGGGAGGAAATGGCACCTGTGAGGGGAAAACAGAGCCCATGGTGGGCAGTGAAGGGAAAAATGGTGCCCGTGAGGGGACAAATGATGTCTGTGAGGGGGATGAGGGAGGAAATGGCACCTGTGAGGGGAAAACAGAGCCCATGGTGGGCAGTGAAGGGAAAAATGGTGCCCGTGAGGGGACAAATGATGTCTGTGAGGGGGATGAGGGTGGAAATGGCGCCTATGAAGGGTTTGAGGGGCAGCTGAGGGGGAAATGGAGCTCACCTGGGCACACCTGTGCTCAGATCCAGCCGCTGTCACCAGCACTGCCAGGTCCCTGTGGCACTGAGGGGGCTCAAGAGCCGGGGAGGTCCCTGAGGGGCGCCAGAGACTGGGGGGGGGGGGGGGGCCCCGGGGGCCCCCCCCCCCGTGGCACTGAGGGGGCTCAAGAGCCGGGGAGGTCCCTGAGGGGCCCAGAGACTGGGGGGGGGGTGGTCCCTGGAGACCTCCACCACCAGAGGGCGCCCTACACCCCCCCCCCAGAACATGGTGGGGGGCTCTCTACAGTATTGGCCCTGAGCAAGAAGGCCCAGGTGGGTCCTGGGGGGGAATTTTGGGGGGGGGTCCCAGGGGGATTTTGGGGTGTCTTGGGGGGGTTTTGGAGTCTCTGGGTTAATTTTGGTGTGTCTAGGGGTGTTCAGGGGTATTTGGGGGGTTTAGAGTTCATTTTTGGGGTGCCTGAGCCCATTTTTGGGGTCCCCAGGAGGTGGAGGCCCTGCTGGGGGACCCAGGGTTTTTTTTTAGGGTTTTTTGGCAGTATTTTGGGGGTCTCTGGGTGGGTTCAGGGGGATTTTTGGGGTGTCTGAGCCCATTTTGGGATCTCTGGGTTCATTTTTGGGGTGTCTGAGTTCATTTTTGGGGTCTCTGATCCCATTTTTGGGGTCCCCAGGAGGCGGAGGCCCTGCTGGGGGAGACCAGGATGCTCCAGGGGGCTTCCTGAGGGTGTTTTGGGTTATTTTAGGGGTATTTTGGGGGTTCTGAGGGTTTCTAGATTGGTTCAGGGGTATTTTTGGGGTGTCTGATCTCATTTTTGGGATGTCTGATCCCGTTTTTGGTGTCTCTGATCCCATTTTCGGGGTGTCTGATCTCGTTTTTGGGGTCTCTGATCCCACTTTTGGGGTGTCTGATCCCGTTTTTGGGGTCTCTGATCCCATTTTTGGGGTGTCTGAGCCCATTTTTGGTGTCTCTGATCCCATTTTTGGGGTGTCTGATCCCATTTTTGAGGAGTCTGATCCCGTTTTTGGTGTCTCTGATCCCATTTTCGGGGTGTCTGATCTCGTTTTTGGGGTCTCTGATCCCACTTTTGGGGTGTCTGATCCCGTTTTTGGGGTCTCTGATCCCGTTTTTGGGGTCCCCAGGAGGTGGAGGCCCTGCTGGGGGAGACCAGGATGCTCCAGGGGAAGCTGCAGAGCCAAGAGGACGATTTCCGTCTCCAGAACAGCACCCTGCTCAGGGAGCTGGCCAAGGTGGGCCCCAAAACCCCCCAAAATCCCCCCAAAATCCCCCCTGGGGGGTTTGGGGAGGGGGGAGGTGGAATTTGGGGGGGGTCTCACGGGGGTCTCTTGCAGGCAGAGGTGGCTCAGCTGCAGGAGGAGGTGGCCAAGGTGAGAGGGGGGAGATTTTGGGGGGATTTGGGGTTTTTTGTGGGATTTGGGTGGGATTTGGATTTTTTTGGGGGGAATTTGGGGAGGATTTGGGGACATTTGGGGTTTTTTGGGAGGATTTGGGCAGGATTTTGGGTTTTTTGGGGGGAATTTGGGTGGGATTTGGATTTTTTTGGAGGGTTTGGTGTTTTTTTGGGAGGATTTGGGCAGGATTTTGGGTTTTTTTGGGGGAATTTGGGGACATTTGGGGTTTTTTGGGGAGGTTTTGGGTGAGATTTGGGTTTTTAGGTGAAAATTTGGGGTTTTTGGGAGGATTTCAGTCGGATTTGGGGTGTTTTGGGTTTTTTTTGGGAGGATTTGGGTGGGATTTGGGGAGGATTTGGGATTTCCTGGGGGGAATTTGGGGTTTTTTTTGGGATGATTTGGGTTTTTTTGGGTTGGATTTGGGTTTTTTTTGGGTGGAATTTGCTTTTTTTGGGGTTTTTTTTGGGGATGATTTGTGGTTTTTTGGGGGGGTTTGGATCCCAAAGGGATTTCAGATTTCGGGGAGGATTTTGGGCTCTCCAGAGGAGATTTTGGAGCAATTCAGGGAGTTGGATTTTTTTGGAGGGTTTGGTGTTTTTTTGGGAGGATTTGGGCAGGATTTTGGGTTTTTTGGGGGGAATTTGGGTGGGATTTGGATTTTTTTGGAGGGTTTGGTGTTTTTTTGGGAGGATTTGGGCAGGATTTTGGGTTTTTTTGGGGGAATTTGGGGACATTTGGGGTTTTTTGGGGAGGTTTTGGGTGAGATTTGGGTTTTTAGGTGAAAATTTGGGGTTTTTGGGAGGATTTCAGTCGGATTTGGGGTGTTTTGGGTTTTTTTTGGGAGGATTTGGGTGGGATTTGGGGAGGATTTGGGATTTCCTGGGGGGAATTTGGGGTTTTTTTTGGGATGATTTGGGTTTTTTTGGGTTGGATTTGGGTTTTTTTTGGGTGGAATTTGCTTTTTTTGGGGTTTTTTTTGGGGATGATTTGTGGTTTTTTGGGGGGGTTTGGATCCCAAAGGGATTTCAGATTTCGGGGAGGATTTTGGGCTCTCCAGAGGAGATTTTGGAGCAATTCAGGGAGGATTTGGCTCCTGGGGGGATGAACTTTGGGATTTTGGGGAGGGGTCCAAGTGGGGCCCCCCCTCAATTTTGTGCCCAAATTTCCCAGCTGACAGAGGAGCTGCGGGAGCAGCGGGAAAGGTGAGAATTTGGGAACATTTTGGGGCATTTTTCTGCTTTTTTCCCCCCATTTTTCCTTTTTTCCCCCAATTTCCCCCCCTTTTTTTACCTCTTTTCCTTCATTACCCCAATTTTTCACCCATTTCCCCCCATTTCTCCCCAATTTCCCTCCATCTTTTGCCAATTTTTCCACATGTCCCCAAATTTTTAATCCATTTTTCCCCATTCCCCCAAATTTCCCCTCAATTTTCCTCCATTTTTTGCCCGTTTTTTTCTTCTTTCCCCCCATTTCCCCCCATTTCTCCCTTTTTCCCCCCAATTTTCCCCATTTTTCCCCATTCCCCCAAATTTCCCCTCAATTTTCCTCCATTTTTTGCCCGTTTTTTTCTTCTTTCCCCCCATTTCCCCCAAATTTTCCCCCATTTTTTCCCATTTTCTCTCTTTTTCCCCCCATTTCTCCCTTTTTCCCCCCAATTTTCCCCATTTTTCCCCATTTTCCCCATTTTTTCCCCATTTTTGCCCATTTTTCCTTGTTTTTTCCCCAGTTTTCTGCGCCTGCAGGAGGAGAAGGAGGCGCTGTCTGATGGGTGTTTTTGGGCTGTTTTTGGCTGTTTTGGTGGCAGGGCCCGGCGCGAGGCGCAGGCGCAGCAGCTGCAGCAGCTGCAGGAGTTGCAGGAGCTGCAGGCTCGGGGCCGGCGGCTGCAGCAGGAGCTGGAGGCGGCCACCGAGGTGGGGGCAGGACCCTGTGGAGACCCTATAGACCCTATAGAGACCCCACAGACCCTATGGAGACCCTATAGAGACCCTGTAGACCCTATAGACCCCAGAGGGACCCCACAGACCCTATAGGGACACTATAGACCTCATAGACCCCATAGAGACCCTAGAGACCCTATGGGGATCTATACAGATGCCCTATAAACCCTATAGAGCCCATAGAACCCCACAGACCCTGTAGGGGCACTATAGACCCCATAGAACGCCACAGATCCTATGGAGACCCCACAGACCCTATAGGGACACTATAGACCCCATAGAACGCCACAGATCCTATAGAGACCCCACAGACCCTATAGAACCTGTAGATCTCATAGGGACCCCACAGACCCTATAGGGAAATTGCAGACCTCATAGAACCCCACAGACCCCATAGGGACCCTATAGACTCCATAGGAACTGCACAGACCCTATAGGGAAACTGCAGATCTCATAGAACCTCACAGATTCTATAGGGACACCATAGACCCCATAGAGACCCTAGAGACCCTATGGGGACCCTACAGACGCTCTACAAACCCTATAGACCCCATAGAACCCCACAGACCCTATAGGGACCCCACAGACACTGTAGGGACCCTACAGACACCCTATGGATCCTGTGGAGACCCCACGGACCCCATAGAACCCCACAGGACCCACCAGTGACCCCAGGGTAGTTTTGGGGTGTTTGTGGGATGTTTTGAGGGTGGTTTATGGGGTGGTTTTTGGGGTGTTTGTGGGATTGATATTGGGGTGTTTATGGGGTGGTTTTTGGGGTGTTTGTGGGATTGATTTTGGGGTGTTTATGAGATGTTTTCGGGGTGTTTCTGAAGTGTTTGTGGGGTGTTTCTGAGGTGGTTTTGGGGTGTTTCTGGGATGTTTTTGGGGTGTTGTTTTTGGGGTGTTTCTGGGGTGTTTATGGGGTGTTTCTGAGGTGTTTTTGGGGTGTTTATGGGATGTTTTTGGGGTGTTGTCTTTGGGGTGTTTTGGGGTGTTTCTGGGGTGTTTATGGGGTGTTTCTGAGGTGTTTTTGGGGTGTTTATGGGATGTTTTTGGGGTGTTTGTGGGGCAGGCCCAGGGGGGGCTGCGGGAGCTGAGCGAGGCCCAGGCCCGGGAGCTGCGGGACAGCCGGAGCCAGAGGGAGAGCCTGGAGAGAGAGCTGCAGGTACGGGGGGCTGGGGGGGATTTTGGGG